GGGCTGCCGGGGGAGGCGGGAGCGGCACTTCCCTGCCTGCGCTTCGCCGGGAGGAGGCCTAGGTCTCTCGGTCTAAAAGCAGGTTGTGTGTGGTTCATTTTTGTGGGTTCTCTTTCGGTTTATTTTGTTTTTATGTCCACCCCAAACCCCGGAATGGGTCTTTACTTCAAATTGAGGTCGCCGTTTAATCCGAAAGATGGCACGTTCTCCATTTCACCATTGCTACGCGTGGTTTTTCAAGTCCAAGGGTCAAAGCGTAATAACTGTATCTGCCTTCAGTGTCTAGCTCTCCAACAGTGTTTCCTTTACAGTTTAGCCTAAGCACGGTTACCATCTTTAATTGCATGTCACGTTTTGGCACAAGAGTGAAATAATTCTTTTAGCCATTTCAAAAGCCTTCAGCCTGGTAAGTCGGTATAAAACGTCCGAGCCTTCTTGCACCAGTATTTTACGTCTGAGAGAACATATTTTGGCCTGAAATTCCTCAGGCCTGGACCACAGGCGCAGCAAGATTATCAGTATTTGCGTAGGGTTTTAAAAACTCATCATCTCACGGCAGTGCTAAGTAGTTCCTGCAAGTAGTCATAGATTTTTTTTTTCGGTACAAGATAAGAAAAGTTACTAGAATTTCTGATAAGACACACATTTGGAAACCGTAAGTAGGGTGTCAGCTGGGTGGGGTGAAGAAGTAAAATGGTGACTCTGTAGTCCTTTGCAGTCGCTTCTTCCAGAGAAGTTATATTTCGGCTTATGTGCTGGGAAGTTCCTATTTGTGCTGTTCTTTAGTGCAGCGTAAATGTTGGTGAATCTTTTTATTTCTGGCAGCAAAAAAAAAAAAAAAAGGCTCTGGATAAAGTTAGTAACTTTGGTATTGTTAATTCAGGAATGAGGTATTTTTTTTTTCTGAAAACTGAAAAGGTTTAGTTTTTGCAGACAGGAATGCATGTGTGAAGGGACTAGTGAGTTTTGGTAAGCTCAACAAAATCCTGAGTTGCGAGGAAGAGAGAGTTTCTACAATGAGAAAATTTCTCCAGCGGGCATAATGAAGATACCTGCCTTCCCGCATAGATTTTCTTTACCGATTGTCTTCACTGAAGTATATCGCTGCTGTGCATGAAAAGCAGGTAGATCTCTCTTACCTGTCCAGTGGCAACTGTTGTTTGATTGTGACAATATATAGGTATAGTCTGTAAATAAATTTTTAAAAGTTTGAAGACGTAGCTCAGTTTAATCGATAGTATTAGGATGACATCAACGGCAATGTATTTTTTCTGTGGAGGGCCTTGTCAAAAACGAAGGCATGTGCACATGTTTTTTTATCTCTCTTTTTTTTTTTTTTCTTCCAATGGCTGTTTTCAAGATGCTGCTTTAGACCCATTGTTACACTTCTGGAGGGAACTGTAAGGCTTTTCTGCAAATTGCTCGGTTCCTTTACCGATCAGACTTGCACTCTTAGCTACTGCCAGTAATCACAACCAGGGAATAGGAAATTATGTTGTCTCTTAAGGAAAGCAAATTTGGAAAGCAAATGAGGTCAGTTCAAACTTGTGTGTTCTGTTGTTGTTCCCTCCAAATGTAATATTTAATGAACTTAGGTGAGAAATAAATTGATACTGATCAGTCGTAATTCAATTTTTATGCAATGGAAACAGACAAAGCAAAACCAAGCAATAAATTCTTTTCTATTATTGCCTCTGTAAAGCTAATATTTGATACATTTGGATAGTCTAATATTAGACTTTCAATTACTCCACATCTCTGGAAATAAAACTGATCATTTTTATATGTGCCTTCACCTAGTTATACTGCTATAAATCTTCTGTGTGCAATTATTGCGAGGACAGGCATTTCCCAAAAGTTACTGAATTATGCACAAATGTAAGCAGATGTATTGCTATTCATACAGTAAGTGAAATGGAGTAACTTAGCATAATCACATTAGGTAAAACTGCCGATAGACCATGTAATAAAGCATGTTACTCTAAGGGCACGATTCTAATTTCAATTCTTCTGGCATAAATACAGTGATTTTTCTGGGATTTTGCAAGATTTCCATGAAACTCATTAGATTCAGACTCTGACCTGTTTATTACAGCTTGAAGGAGCGCCCTGCCTTAGGCGTATGTACTTTTATCTGTATTCCATATATACCAACTCTGTGTGTGGATACCTACTATTTGTTGCATAGCAGGCTTGTTTGGCTTATTCAAACATATTTGTTTTCCTTCCTTGTTTCCAGTTTATTCTTTGCTTCAGTTTTTACCAATGGGAACCAATGACTTACGGAGCTTACCACTATCCAGGCTGGTCCATGGTGCTTGGATGGCTGATGCTGGCCTGCTCAGTTATCTGGATCCCAGTTATGTTTGTGATAAAAATGCATCTAGCCCCAGGCAAATTTATTGAGGTAATTTTTCTGTCTTTTTTGCTGCTTAAAAATATGGTCACAGGAGACTGTCTGGTTTTTTTTACATTGATTTTTGTGATACTGAATGTCTAATAGTGCTAAGATTACTTTCTGGTAAGCTAGTTATTGCATTGCAAATAGATGCTCAGTTGATTTAACATGCAGACCTTCTATTCCCTGTTCCTCAAAAAAATGCTCCTGAATTGTTAAGCGATTGCTTTTATGAGAACTAGGAGTTACAAATTTCATAAGCCCCGGTATGGTGTTACTGAGAGAAAGTTGTTCCCCTAGCTTTGTTGGCCTCTTTGCAAAAGCAGTGTGTAGAGTAGGAAGCATCAACTGTTGGTGTGTAACGTGTCGCAGCGAGCCCAGCAGTCAGTGCTAGGAGACGTCAGTCGGGAGTCGCCTGTTTGCAGAGTGCGAGATGGTGGGGTACCCGAGTCATCCGGGATGCGCTCCGGGAGGTTGTGCCACCTGGTGAAGTTCAGGACTAAGACGTATGAAGAGACCTCATGTTCTACAGCTCAAACTGCTCCTTGTAATACTGAAGCTGACAATCTTTCTTTTCCCCCTTCTTCATCTCTCTATTTTTTTGAGTAAGCTGATCCTCTCTGGCGCCTGGGCTTAAAAAAATTCCAGGTGGCTCTTTATTTTTATGCTGCTCTTGTTTATTTTGCAGATCAGATTCTTGCCGCTTCCCCCCACCACTCCAGAAACGTGGCAGTCCCCTTCTGCTCCCTGTCCCTGTGCGCTGGCCCTGCCTGCCAGCCCAGCTGCCACCGCCGCCGCTCCCCGGCTGTTCCCATCCCACTGGCTCCTCAGTTCCTTGCAGGACGCAGTACAGCAATGTCCTTCTCATGTCAGCATTTCATCCCTTCATTGCCTTTACCTTGTCATCTGAAGAAGTTCGATGGTCTTATTTTTGGCCTGTGAGGCTTTCTCAGTTCTCTCCTCTCCTCACTGCATGCTGCTTCTGCTGCTCCCTCTTCGGGATACGGAACAGACACTCGCCTCCCCTTTTCAGCTCTCCTGCAAAACCTGTCAGGGCTGTTACACGCCTCAAAAACGAAAAGGAGAGAAAAATGTACTAAAATAGAATAATCTTTTGGTCTCTCAATATGTCACACTACACATGCCTAAGGGAAAAGACCATGCTTTTCTGCTTCACGTGGAGCAAAGGAGTTTAAGTGGTGGGACACCCTAGGGAGAGCATCCACGTACACGGTTGGCGCTAGGCAGCGAGGCCACTTGTCTAAAGGGCCGTTCAGCCCTTGCGTAGCGCACGTTGGAGTGCCCAGGTCAGGAGACAGCTGCTCCTGCTGGAAATGAGCTAATGTGAAATTAGACTTACTCGTTCATTGTCTCGTAAGGTTCTCTCATAGAGACAAATTGTTCTGCTTCAAATCGTCTAACTTGTATGTGTAGTACTGGCATATATGTTGCCACAAAAATAGGGTGCTCTCCTTACCGTCCCTCTAGTATTGCACCCAAAGAAACACCAAAAAGTTGGATCTGTTTTGAAGGGGCTTTTGCTGAAGCTATTTCAGCCATAGCCTGGTACTTCCTGAATACCAAGTCTGCTGCATAAAATTATTATGGTTGATTTGGGAGCTAAGGGTTGCAAGCTGGTAATTAAGCAGAGATTAAAATAACTGATATAGAGGTCTGATTCACTTTATTAGATAATAAACATATAATTGTTCCCTCTTAAGTCATCAGAAATATGTTTTCTTTCCATTTTATCTGTAAATGCACCAATCAAATTATATATTCAATAAAGAAATCAGCGGAAAGACTAGAAGATTTTTGTTGTTTGCCAGATTAACGTTCTCCTCTTTCTTTTTTCCTGCAGATAGAAATGAAACATTTTGTCATCTCAAACTTAAAATCTTTGTTCATTCATAGCAATGTACTTCTTTTGGTCATTTGTATACTTTTGGGAAATATGCTAAACAGAAATCCAATTATTTTAATGCAGTTACCCACTGCTTAGACCATTGGGCTAAGTAATTGTGCACATGTCCTTCAGTAAGTGAGCCTTGCAATCTGTAGCAGTGGTTCTGAGCTCCCCTCATACGGTGCGGGGGAGAATGTATAATTAAAATCTGGGCACTTTATCCTCTATTAATCTTGCAAACTTTGTGCAAAACAAACACTGAGCAGTGGAGCATTGCAGGGCCATCATCAATAATCTCAAATGAGCCTATCCTCATTTCTTCTGCATTGTAATTCTGCTCCATAACTTCAAATGAGACTCTCTTTTCTCTCCCCCACATTGCAGCGACTCAAGTTGGTGTGTTCTCCGCAGCCTGACTGGGGTCCGTTTTTGGCCAAGCACCGCGGTGAACGTTACATGAATATGATTGATCCTCTGGGAACCTCTTCCCTGGGACTTAAACTGCCAGTGAAGGATATAGAACTGGGGAGCCAATGCTAATAATTATTACATGGGTGGCAATAACATTGTCAGCCTTTTCTGATCTTTTTTTCCAATTTGTTTCCCCACCTTTTCTTTTTTCTTTTTCGCAGTGCCTGAAAGTGGTTGCTTAGGAAAGTAGGACTTAACTGTTGCATGCCATAGGGAAGACCTAGCTAGACCACTTCCAGGTGTTGGTGATGCCCATGACGTGTTCTGTACCCGCCGAAATAGCAAAAGTATGTGGCGCAACGGGTGACGTGCCAGGTTTTGTCAGGTTATGTCAGGAATACACAAAACGCAACGGAAAAAATCTTTTAAGGAAATTATGTGCAGAACTTGACCTGTTTCACACAAGCGTGCTTGTAACAGGTAGCTACGGTGGCACTAGGATTTTGTTACCAGTGTAATCAAAGGGAAGTTCAGCCCTCGGATGGGACGGAAGCAAGCAAAGAAGGGGATCTCCTGTAGTCCCGGTATAAATCCAGCATAAAGCTCTCGCAGTAAGCGGGGCTTACACTGACACCAGACCTTGACCCGTTGCGTCTGCGCACTTCTTTTATGATTTATACTAACTTTGAGGACTTGTTATTTAAAGAAGCGGAGACCCTTTAAACAGCACACCAGGAAGCAATACCTGGCATCAGAACAGAAACACAATAATCCATTTGATCTTTTCAAGTAGAAAAATGAAAGCAAAATTTAAAGAGCTAATCATTTGAGATTGGGACTAAACCGCATTGGGCTCTAGAAGTGGTTTGGAAATGGTGCCAGACTGAGGGGTATGGGCATCACTGTTTAAAGTACTGTCATACGCTTCTTTTGATAATTTGGTATCTGTCATTTAAATTAAAAATGCCTCAGTTATACAAAGTGTCTGAAACCTTGCTCCACACTAAGTGCAACTGCGGTTTTACTCACTTCACTCCAATGCTCTGAACATAGGTTTCCTTGTTTCTCTGCTTTTGTTTACAGTATCTCCTCAAGAAGCCATCGTATAATTTGTGCCTAACTTTGTATTCTTACAGTGGTAAGTGTAGTCTAGTTACCACCTGACAACAGTTGTTAGACGTTAGATGTGCTGTTCAACTTCGTGACTCCCCGTTCATTCTCCTATTAACATCTTTATATAACCTTTAGATGTATTCTTCTCTTTCAACCAATGGGGAAATAGCAGAACCCCACTTGTCTATATATTATATATATAGCACGTAAATTCTTCAAAGCAGTATTCTCTCTGAAATGTACATAGGGTTTGGGTTTTTTCTGCATTTAAAACATTTTCATTAAATAAAAAACAAAAAGACCCCAACAATTAACCACTGCAGTCATCCACATGGATGCAACATCGGATACGCAAAATGCGAGGATTGAGGGGAGAGGACAATTTAGTTGATGGCCATTACAATGTAGCATAGCAATAGGACGTTCTAAATCATTACATTTTAGAAATCAGATATAATGGTGATATGAATGTTAGACTTAAATAGTTTTGTTACCTATTGGGCAGAGTAAAAATAGAGCTTTGTAAGAGTACATTTATTTACCTGAATAGAAAATTAACCCAATTTATTGTAAATGCACTAGAATGAGGGAGAAAAATATATCTTCAATAACTGGCAAAACTGTAACCTTTACTATCTTGTTATATCCTATACATACATATATGATATTTTTTAACAGTGATCAGTGTTCACGTAGTGTGTACTAGTGATGTTTTATGTCCCTATAAATATCTTATCAATCAGTGTAGAGATGGTGAGCTTAGAGTAGTTTAGCCTGTTTTTTCACTCCCCACACACACTACTGTAGTAGCCAGTCAATGTTCTGTCCTTTCAGGGAACTGTTTCTATCCCGTTCTTTTGTCTGTCTGTCTGCATATTACAGGGTCTCAGGTAAATCTTCAGTTACTGTGTGTCCGTAGATCAGTAGACGTGTTGTTTCATCCCGTTGAAGAAAACAAAACAAAAACTAAACCTTAACGTAACACTTCCACAAATTGTTAACTTATTTTCTCTGTGTGTGTGTGTATATATATATGTATATTAAATATATTAACCATTTTGCTGAACTTCCTCTTTCACGGGGCAATTAGTGTTGCCAGTTCTAGGCACTGCTGGAGACCTTTAATCCTCATGCAGGACAAGCGAAGCGCCATCGGGTTGTCACTGAGCGAAGCGAGGGCAGATTTTGCAACACTTTGTGCTGGCCCCTGAACCCCCACTCCACGGGCTCTGTTGGTCCCCGTCTCGCGTGGCAGCAAGATGGGACCCTTCTGTGAGCTTCTCTGCCTTAAAACTGTGCCCCCTTGTTTCAGCTTCGCCTGCTATTTCAATAAGGGGGTTGCTATTCTTACTTCTGGCTTTTATTTTCCTGGCAGAGGCAGGTTTGAGAAGCCATGCTCTGTTTGATGTAATGAAGGCCCATAAAGACGCGCTGGAAATTTGGCCCCCACATCTATGTGGGGCTGAGGGGCCTTCTCTGGACAAAAAAAGGAACATAAGTCAGCACCTCGAGTGGGAATTAGGTATTTTTGTCAAGAGAAATAGCTTTAGGCCTCTCTCTACCAATACTACCGAGCATCTTGATTTGACTTCTGGAGTCCAGGCCAGTTTCTTTTCACTACTATTGTGATTAAAAAAAAATTAAAAATCCGTATGTTTGTTCCTCTTTTAAAAAAAGAAAACACACTCAAATTGCTTAAGAGTTCTGGATCCTTTCACTTACGAACTTGTCTCAGGACATGCACTGGAACTGGGATTAACTAATTGCAATAAAATTACCTCGGTGTAAGGATGTCAGTTACTGTCTACCTTAAGTATAAAAGAGATAGAATTTGAAGGAATACTGCTAGGTTATATCTTTCCTTTGGCTTGGATTACCAAACCTGAATGCGTATGAAAAATTGAATTGCTTTCCATTATTTATGTAATTAATCTGCTTGCTTTTAATTTAGATGTTGTTCCTGTGCCTGCTAAGTCATTAGCACAGGATTAGGCTTGACTTTGAAACTCTGAAAACAGATGATAGTGATTTTGTTCTAGCTGATATTTGTCTTCAGCTTTGACCTCCGTTACTAGGCTTGCAAAAACATTTGGAGAGGGGGGAGAAACGCATACAAAAACCACAGAAGATACGACGTTTTCACTGTATGTTAACAGCAGATTTTTTTTTTTTTCACATTAGACTTTTTTTTGGAAGTATTTTACTGGCCAGATCTGAATGTTGAGATTAAATTAACCAGCAGTGTCTTCTTTAAATGAGAAGTAACCTTGAAGTTTGGGAATGCACTTCATTTACCATGCTCTAGGAAAAGTTTGCATGTACTTTGATAATTTTCTAAAAATAAATTTAGTAACTAATTAAATACCAGTAAAGATCTTTAAAAAAAAAAAAAAAGGAGGGGAAAAAGCCATATTAGTAAAATGTGATGCACGTACTTGCAGATCTATCTATCTTGTGAGTAAAAAATGTTCAAATTTGGTGAAATTACTTATGTTGCATATTTTTTCTTTGAAATGAAATTGAATTTCTGGATGAGCTGAGATGCATTATTGTATGCATTAAGGATTACACCTAATGCAAATGCTTGCCATCTTCAAATTCTTTGGGGTCTTCCTAGTGTTTTTAATATGCAATGTTCAAAACCTGTGTTTCAGCTAGACATGGCAGCACTTTGTTTCCAAAAGAAGGGTTTAACAAAATGACCTTTAATTGAGAAAGACTTGGATTGTCTTTATATGATGTTTCAATTGGGTCAAAGTAGTCTTTTGATTAGGTTCTGCTCCACTGACCGCATTAGATGTGCCTCAGCACTGAAGATCATTGCTTCTGATACACTGTGTGGCTATCTACCATGAAATTCCAATGCCTGATTTATTTTAAATACCTTTGTTGTTTTTGAATATATGTATGGTTGTATGGCTAATATGATTTCTTGTTGCCTGTGATAAAGCAATTGCTTATTTATGGCAGACATTGGTTTCCTATTGGTTTCTTATTCTGCAGCTCCACCTCTTGCAATCAAAGAAAGACTTGTAGGGATTGTGGGTCGCAGGCTGCAGAGCTTCGGCAAGTGGCATCCCAGAAAGTGTCTCTGTTTTGCTAGTAACACCGTTGTAAGAGACGCTTGTTTCTTAGTTTGTAGCTAAATGGTGTGCACGTGAGAGAGCTGTAAAACGGTCGGAGCTTGATATTCCCGAGGGGCTCAGGTTGATGACTCGAGGGGGGAGGGGAGGGGTATTTGGGGTTTCTGCCTTTGTCACCCTCAGGCAGCCTATCGCCAAAGAGAGAAAGTTTTCCTGATGGGTTTAGCAGAATGTGAGAACCGGGCTGGACCTTATTGCTTGCAATATTATTATTTGCCCATAATGTTTAAATGCATCTTCAGGTAACCATTTGCCTTATAGCTATCTTCCATTGTTAGGAAAATTACTGATCGACTAAAACATGTTGTTATCTGTCATTTATATTATGTAGTATTACCTTGTAAGGTAGATGCTTAGCTGGTATAAATTGTCACAGCTTCGTTTGGAGCTGTGACAATTTACAGCAGCTGAGAATTTGCGCCCTGTGTCCTATGGCACTTTATTACGGACCCATCGCTGATGGGTTAAATCTTAATTACTTGCGTAATGTCATATATAAATATATATATATATTTACAGGCATTCTATGGGGTACTGCTGCCTATGGATAAAGATTTGTACCCTAACCAGGTCATTATAATTTTTTTTCCATTAGCTATATGTGGAGAAGATATATTATGTTACAAAGGATGCATCATATATATCTCATGTAGTGCATATTATAATGCTGTATGTTATTAATTTAAGAAATCATTATTCTTGAGGCCCTACCTCAAATTTTGTATTTATGTGTACAAATGCAATTTATTGTATTATATATTTGCCTATTATATTTGGATGTGATAAATTAAAATTATTCGATAATGTATGGGCTCTAAAGACTCTAAATAAATGTCCAGTGTTTAAAACAGAAAATACATTGACATTTTTCTG